GAGAGTGTGGAATTCCGAACACTTGATGAAATTCTACCAATAGGTTTGTAATCCTGATTTAAAGAATTATTCAATAAGAGTTTGTTTTCTTTAACAAAGTCCTTGTAAAATTGCGAAGGTTTTTTAACCACCCCAAAAAAAAACTAAGGCTACTACGCCTAATTTTGGTACTCGCAAAAGTCAAAGTACAAATTCCAGACTCATCCAAATTCCGCAGCTCAACTTTGTCTTGTCAAAAGACGAGAGCAAGAATACAAGATCTTTTTCAAGATCAAACAGCCTTATAAACAAAATCAAATTTCCTCAAAACAGGAAAAGATGGCCTTTCTTAAGGCCAAGACTGATTTACAAAGGCTAAGGATGAACTAAGGGAATTAACTTTGCACCGGAGAGGCCACCAGGCCTCGCCAATTAAAGAGGTTCATTACAAGGCTTAATTGACCTAAAAGTAAAGAACCCACCCTACTTCGGTTCAGAAAATAAGAACTTAGGGTTAAAATTGGTAAAGCTCTCCGACGCGGTTCAGAAATTAAGAACCCAAGGAAAGCGACCTTGACCGGGAAATCAGGGCTAAAACTATGAGGACAAAGTGATAGAAAACAAACTTATCTATTTGGCAACTGAAGTCAGACCTTGAGGTCAGGACAGGGCTCCCAGGTTGTATGGATACAGGAATAAAGGACGGATTCCCAGACAATCAAACAAGGTGGAGTCCAGCCTCAAAACTCAGGGCTGAGTGGTTCCAGTCAAGTTTAAAGAAGGTCAAACCAGGGCAATAGATTGGACCAAAAGACAAACAACGTCATATACATGCCAAAATAAAGTGCAAAAAGGTAATTGTTTGTTTACAAGCCACCCCGAGGGTGGAAAACGCTGCAAGCACGCAGGCTTGGAAAAAGTGTTTTCTCCAAACAGACAAATAAAGAAGCATTTACAAGACAGGTGTCGGGGTGTCCCCCTAAACGCCACCTGGCATTAGTCAACCTCTACACAGCATCAACAGAGCTCTACTCATCCGAGGTAAAGGAAACGGCCTGGGAGGCCGGCCTCATCCCAACACCCCTCGTCACGAGCAGCTGGAGGTCAACAGCTGGCTTTGCAAGAGTCACAATGTCGCTTCCTTGTTCTTGCCCATCAGGTTCCCCAGAGGCTGTCACCATACCTCCTGAAATTGAAAGGAAACAGGGTCAGAGAACAGACCATTGGGATAGTAAAAAGAGGAATTACCAGGACAAGAACTAACAGGGCTGACCTGAGGAAAAAGTGAGCACCATCTTCCCGTCATCGCCCAGATGATGACCCAACCGATAAGGCGATCCCATGTCAAAGAGACCAGCAGCATACTCAGTTCCCTGACTAAGGAGGGGCACGTCCCATCGACGGATAAACTTTACCCATTTATTACCAAAGGGGAGTTCATCGTTTGTTGGGGTCATCCACACCCATTTTTTCTCCCAATTCGGATCAAGGCTCGGAAAGGGTGGACCCTCGAACAGGTGATGGCCCGACCTATGAGAAAGCGCGAAGAAGCCCTTAGCAAGAAGACGCCAGATCGGGCTGCATAGAAGAAGTGCCGGAAAAGCTTTGTGCTCAACAGGATCCGCAGATGCGTGCAGCGGGCCATGAACCCAGCCAGGAAGAGGTAAGCCACCGGAGCAAACTGGTCAGGGACAGCACGGTAATAAGCAAGGATGCTCAGCACGAAGGGATGAAGGGGAAATATGAGGCCCATATGCAGGCTGGATAGGTGTACTCCAAAGTGAAGAGGAGAAGGGGGCTCCACGATATTTTGCCCGGGAATAGGGCGTGAGCAAACCACGCTAGGGCCTGTCAGGGCAACGGCCGTTTCAAATTCAGCATCGAAGAGGGCCGCCGCAGTCACGGCCCGGGCTCTATCGGCCGGAAGATAAAAGTGGGTAGACGTATCATGAAGGAACTTTGAAACAGAAGAAGATTTAGAGGAAGACATGATGAACCAAGGTTTCGCTCAAAGGGATCAAAGAATGTGCGAATGATGAAAGAATATGAAGGGGAGTTATTTTTATATAGCGAAACCCTAAAACGCTTCGTAATCGTTGGAACCGTTTGAGACTCGTCTCGAAAACTGTTCAAAACCGCTTGGGAAAACCGCATCTGGAGATTCGAGAAGTCGGGAAATGGAAAGCCGGTTGAAAGTTGAGCCCGAGGTGCAGGCCTACTTCGGCGCAATAATCACTGAGGCAGAGCTACAGTCGCGTATAGAGATTCGAAATTTGAAATCCAGTAAACCGCTTCAATTCTACTCCTCCAAATTTAGCCCTACTAATTTTTAGGAGTAGGGGGGCTCGTGATGGTACCATGGATGTAACACCCCGGCCCCACCGGACCCAAGGTACTTACTCCGGACCAATAGTACTGTCCTCACAAACCACCACTAGCCTTTACCGCGCACTTTGTCCTCACTCATGCGCGCCCTGAGAAACTTCACAGGGGGTCACCCATCCCAAGACTACTCCCGTGCGAGCACGCTTAACTTTGGAGTTCTTGGGTAATGAGCTCCCTTAAAAGGAGATGCACCTCTGTTGGTATGAGTAGTACTATTAATCCGTTTATATTAAATCTCAAGTGTTACAATCACCCCCACTTAGGATCGCAACGTCCTCGTTGCACCCTTGAACCAATATCAAATCTCAATCAAATCCAAGAATCTTCCCCCGCTAAGTGCCCGCCCGATATCCAACGGGTCATCACACTGTCGCGGGGTTGCTCTGATACCACCTGTAACACCCCGGCCCCACCGGACCTGAGGTAGTTACTCCGGACCAATAGTACTGTCCTCACAAACCACCACTAGCCTTTACCGCGCACTTTGTCCTCACTCATGCGCGCCCTGAGAAACTTCCCAGGGGGTCACCCATCCCAAGACTACTCCCGTGCGAGCACGCTTAACTTTGGAGTTCTTGGGTAATGAGCTCCCTTAAAAGGAGATGCACCTATGTTGGTATGAGTAGTACTATTAATCCGTTTATATTAAATCTCAAGTGTTACAATGGATTCAGGCCATGGCCCAATTACGTAGTCCAGCCCATAAACGGGATCAGCCCTTAACGGGATCAGCCTAATTACAGGATTAGCCCATAAACGGGATTCATGAATAAAAGCCGCTCAGCCCATTAGGAATTAGGCCCACGATAGGAACCCACAGCCAGGCCGGGCTGGACAGCAGACCTCGAGCCTGAGCGGAGTTCTAGTGAGGTCGGGATATTCCTAGGGCTTACGTGGCGAGCTATCACTCGTTGATATATATTTGGCAACATGCAGAACTCATCCGGAGGACGGTGACTAAAAAGAGAAAGTAATCGTGTGGGAATCAAGCATCGAAGAGTTCTATTCGAGCAAGAATATAGTTCATTAATTGAGCATTTATTGTATTAGATTCCTCCCATAACTTTACCCTCTAATCTCTATAAATACTTGATGTAAACACCCTATCAAAGGGATCGGACCCCCGATAAAATTCTGAACTGAGTCTAGACCATTGCTAGTTCTCCGGAATAAAGAGTGAAACGGCCTTACGCTGTCATATTATTCTCATATTTGCGTATATTTAGCTCTCGTAGTTGGATTTAACTCCATCATCAACAAAGCTCAGAAAATAGAAAAGTAAGAACTCTTTATACTTTTATACATTTTATACGGGAAGTAGAAGTTGTTTTCGTTTTTAAATGAGCTGACATTATTTTTCATTTTCAACATGCTTTTTATTAAAAAAAAAAAACGATTTGTGCTTAAAATGCGAAAAAAAATAACTAATATAGGAGAACTTATTTGACAATTTCCTTTTTTAATTTTTTTTTCTAGATTAAAATAAGGAAATGACACTATTTCCCTTTTCAATTCAGTATTGTTCTTTAAAAATAAATAACAAAAAGTTATTTGTACAGATAATTTGCATACATTTCTTGTACACACTATCTAATTACCTTTGTACACAAACAACTTGTTCACAAACTGTCTGTGTACATATGGTAAATAGTAGTGTATGTAGGGGTTGTGTACAATTTGTGTAGAAATAGGTGTAAACAAAATGAGCAACTAACGACCAAGCTACAACATGAATACGGAGTAGCTACAACAATGAAGTTAGTTGCTCGTCTGTGAACTCGATTCACAGACAATATTTTGTTTGTGCAAAATATTATCTATACACTGGAGTTCACAGACAAAAAAAATATTTCATAAACATAGGTGAGTACAAAAGTGAGTATAAGAGTGGGTACAATCATCATTTTTGGAGTACCTAATAGGCCGGCCTTTTGATTTATGGCCTTGACCCTGACGTGGCCAGTTGCCGACCACATTTGACTGGTTGATGATTTAGGTGAAAGACTAGGCTGCTAAGACATCTCCAAGGGTCAATCATAGCTCTACGCTCCTTAACATAAGAAAGAAAAAATAGATATCACATCCGTACTTGTATTTCAAATAAAAATGCAAATCGTGAATTTTAAACTTTATTGACGCAATAATTAAATTAGTTCTAATCAATTAAAATTTATAAATTCAAAAATTATATGGAGAGTTATATAAAATCACAAACCCAAATTACAATATAATAAATAATTGATATACTAAATGAAGAGGAAAATTATTTTTATATACGCTATTTTGTACACGTTTTTTGTTGCATACATCCTCTATTTTTCCTATATACACAAGTATTTGCTGATTTGGTTTGATTTGCATAAACCTGATTTGTTGATCTGGTTTGATTTGATTTGCTTAAGCCTGATATGGTCTGGGGTGAACTGGTTTGGTCTAATAACTGTCTAATTTCTGTGTATTATATAGATGTCCAAGTATGATACGAAGTATAATATAATCTGTTTAAGTCTGGTCTGATGCTCGAAGATCGAAAATAGTGGAACGGAAAACATCCTTAGAAGATACGGAGTACTACGTATAAGCGTATACAAGACTACACCCTTGCTATATCATACTACGTAATTGTTTTTATATTGCGTTATCATAATAACATATTACTACGTACTATATATTTTTGTGTTGGCATTATAAGGGATTACAATTAATAAAAATGTTTGTATTCATTCATCTTTAAAAGGACGACAGTTTTAATGGGAAAAGATGACTATTAAAAAACTTCACCTACCGAAGGATCCAATGAAAATGGCCCTCGATCCCTAGCTGCTATTTTTTTTTTTATATGAGACGAGAATATAATAAATAGAAGCAAGCTTGGCCCAGCGTTACTGGCCAAGGATCGGAGAAGCGAAAAAGAAAAAAAGAGTCCAGTCCGTATTAGAAGCAAGCTAATTAAGGCAGGTATGGCGTCGGAGACAGTGAAGCTGGTGGGCGCATGGCCGAGCCCATACGTGATCCGGGCTCGGGTCGCCCTCAACCTGAAATCCATAGACTACGATTTCCTGGAGGAGAAATTCGGGACGAAAAGCGAGCTTCTGCTGAAACACAATCCGGTGTACAAGAAGATCCCGGTTCTGGTTCACGACGACAAGCCCGTGTGCGAGTCGCTCATCATCGTGCAGTATATTGATGAGGCCTGGACTTCCGGTCCAAACATCCTGCCCGCCCATCCCTATGACCGGGCCATCGCCCGCTTCTGGGCCACTTACATTGACGATAAGGTAACAAACTATTTTATACTCCCTTCCAAGTTTCTTCATTTAGTTTTATGCAAGTTTTCATATATATACTCCCTTCGTCCCGTAATTAAGTACCTGCTTTACTTTTTGGGATGGTCCATATTAAAGTTCCTACTTCAAACATTTTCTTATTTGGCAAATGATTTACACTAAAACAGTGACAAACAGTGTTTAAATAGTGTCAAACAGTGTACTCCACGGTAAAGTCAAATTTAAATTGTGAAATCAAACTAATTAAGAACCGGAGGTGAGGTAGTATATACATATACTCACTCGTCCACTTCCGCTCCCAACAACTTTATCCCTGTCTCACTAACTAATTTGAGATTCTTGATTCCAATGGGAGCAAAATATATAACCCCTATATGTACAATAGTGTTTATTTCCCCCAAAAGGAGTAGAGTTATGTTACTGTTCTAACTTACCATAATAAATTCATATTTTTATTTATAATAAAATCATCAAAAAGATTAAATAAAAAATTTAAGAAAAATAAAACCATAGAAAAACAAAAACCAAAACTTCAAAAAAATAAGATAAAACACACAAAAAATATAGAGGTCTTTCCTCCCACCTCCCTGCACCACCGTGTTAAGAATGTCATCTTCTCTCATATGTTACTTCTCTCTGAAAATGACATATGTTACTTTGAAACCGTCATCGATCAAGATGTCATTACTAATGTATGGTGACATTATTTTTGTCGATAAGAGCTGGTAGGGTTGGGAGGTGACAAATTTTATATTTTTTTATTTTAATTTTTTACTTTTCTAATTTTTTGAATTTATTAATTTTATTTGATATTTATTTTCGTGTTTTTCTCTTTTTACAATTTTATTATAAATAAAATTATTTTCTTATTATCAGAAATAAAAATATGATTTGTATCAAAACATAGCTAGCAAGGATAGGACTGAGAAGTTACTCAAATTTAGGAAATTTAGAATTTGTACTCCTATTGTCAGTGAAAAACGACTCAGGAAGGTCAAAACTTAATTAAATACGTAGTACAAAATAAAAGGGACGGGTCATTTTAAAAAAATAGCTGAGTTAAATGTGTCAAATGTAATTTTTTTTGAATGAAGGGGGCTTATATTAAATAAAAAGCATTCAAAAAGGAGCTAAAATAACAAAAGCTCCAACAATAATCATCCGCCCTTGGGCCAGACTCTGAGTTAACCACCTTTAAAAAAGCAGTATAACTCGCTGATCCTAAAATGGGCATAATTGAGCCAACAATTGTTACTGCAGAACTCTCATCCCACGATTCTAATGCAAGAGTCTTACAGAAACAAACCAAACAAAAGCTGAAAACAACAGCCTTAACATGGAATTTAAAGTAGCAGACAATAAAAAATAAAATCCAGAATGAAAAAACTTCAAATCCATCTTCACGCATGCCATCGACGGGTCTAAGAGCTTAGGCCCGCCTCCTCCCCGTTTTTTGCGCTATCCAATGTCATCTCCTCTCCTGCTTCTTCCTCCTGTGTTGGATCCCTCCAGATTCTCCTGTGCTTCTGGTCAGCTGAAGCCTCTCCTGCACTACTACTCTCTCCCTCCTTTGTGCCGCTGTTCTCAGACTCCCTTGTAACCTCCCTACGCCCTTGTCTCATGATGCCTTCATATTTTTTCGAGACTCTTTCCTGCTGGCTTGGACCCCCTGTTTTTCCACCAACCACTTGTTGCCACTAGCTGGGTTACTCTTTCCCCCTCCTCCTGCTCTAAGTTCCGCAGTAAAATTGTTTTCTAGAGTAATATCTTCCACGTATTTTAATGGGCAAAATTTTCAGTGTCCCATGATCCCTCAAATAAAACAGAAATTTGGTAGTTTCTCATACTTGAAATCTACCCAGTGCTCCTCTCCTTTTGACAAAGTAGATCCCCTTTTAAGGGTTTTCTCACATTCATCTTAACCCTAACTCGCAGATAAGAACTCCACTTCCCTTAAGTGACTCTCATCAAAACTGATAAATTCCCCAATATAATTACCCGCTCTTCTAGCAGTGCCTATATTCATAAATTTATACGAAGCATTGTGTACTTGCACCCAAAACTAAGTTTCAAACAAATCCATCTTATGAGGAATATCATTTGGACTAACCTCTTTTAACAATAACAAATTTCTTTCAAATAACCAGGGGCCATCCTCTAAGACACAGTTTCTGTCAACTATATGGTAGAAAGTGAATAAAAACCTCTTATCGTCAATTTCTTGGACTGGCATACCTTTGCCTGGTCTCCAGATTGGGGCAAATAAATCTTGCACAGCCTGAACTCTCACCTTCCGATCTGTAATGATTAACCCCACCACTGGATACTCCGTCTCTTTCACCGCAGGTTCATGCGTCTCCTCCGCCTCATCATCGAAGTTGAGATTGTTGTTCTTCTCCTTCAGAGCCATCCTTTTGTATAGTTCCAACACTTCCTCCATAGATTAGTAGTAAGCCGATACCCTCCTTCTGAATTGTCGAAGCCTGCGATCAACCCAGCCTCTTCACCCGGACCTGCGATCACCCCTCCTTTACCTGAAAAACAGCAAGCCACAACTTTCTTCTACCCCCCTTCGCCGGCGCGGCTAAGGGGCGAAGACGAATCGGGAAAACGAAACTACTCTAGGCGGCCGAGACCGAAACCTAGAGAGAAGTGTCAAATGTAACTTAGATAAATGATAATTTAAATGATAGTTTAAATGTACATTATAAATTCACTTAAATAGTGAGCGAATGAGACGCTATTTTTAAAATTTGAAAATTTGATAAAATTCCTTTAATTCAATAATATGCATTACCTTTTACTAACTTCAAGGGTTGATAGTGCTGATTTTCAGAAATCATAATTTTTTATTTGTAATGAGTTACGAGATTTATAATGTATCAAATCAAAGATATTTTATTCGTAAATATTTATACTCTGTATTTTTATTCGGCTTAACTTTTCTTCCAAACCTCAATCTCTTCTAATTTATAAATATTCTTGTTTAGATTTGAGTTATTTCGTGTAATTGATAACTAATTCATCATCATGTACGTTTACATTATTTTAATTTGTAATTTTTGTTTATTACTAAATCTTAGTTTAAAGATGCTCCATATTATCTCGAGGCCTGCAATGATCATGTCTAACTTCAATAACTATACTACTTATGTTTATGTTAAGTCATATCGATCTAATTTAACTCCCCTAAAATCAAATCCTGCATCTTTGAATGTAATGTAATGCAGTGGTTCCCAAGTCTGCGCGGAATAGCAATGGCGGGAGAAGAGGAGGGGAAAAGGGAAGCGGCGATAAAGGAGGTGGAGGAAGGGTTGGGCCTGTTGGAAGGCGCATTCCAGAGCTGCAGCAAGGGGAAGAAGTTCTTCGGGGGAGAGAGGGTGGGGTTCCTGGACATCGCGCTGGGAAGCAGCATCGGGTGGGTCAGGGTCACGGAGAAGTTCAACTCCATCAAGCTGTATGACCAAGCCAAAGTTCCTGGTCTGGCCCAATGGGCCCAGGACTTCTGCGCCCACGATGCCGTCAAGGACGTCATGCCTCCCACTGACAAACTGGCCCACTTTGCTAAGCTCATCTTCTCCAAAATGAAGAATTAATTAATATCCTGGCCGGCATGCATGACTTTAATTTGTTGCATGCTCTCTTTCACTTTCTTCCTCTCCATGCATGTTTGTAATAATACCCAGAAAACCTATGCACTTAAATGCTCCCAATAAATTTCATGTCTTATCTTCTAACACACTGCATGCGTGATCTCCTCTTCCCGCCCACGTCCTAGCGTGTAAGCAAAAATTGCTTCCAACCAGAAAAATCGAAACCCAAACAAAATTGGAATGTTATTTTGTACGGTTTCCGCTCATGTTTCGACTAAAAACCAAATTATTTTGGTTTGAATTGGTTTTTGTTATTCCCTCCGTATCAGAGTAACTATCACAGTTTCCTTTTTGGCCTTATCAAAATAAGGGGGTGTTTGGATCTAATTCTTAAAATTGCTTGAAGCACAGGTTTGGATGTTTGGGTGAAAGTACAAAAGTATTTCCGGTGATCAAATTTACTCCTAAAAGTAGTTTTTTTAGAAGCTGGGGGAGACCAGCATCTGAAAATTGATTCTCATTCTACTTCTGCTATAAAAAAGAAACATAAGCAAAACTAGTTCCAAACGCCCCCTAGGTGTCTCAATTCCGTTTTAGGAAATACATTCAGTCCAAAAGCAGCTATAGTACACTTTAATAAATTCTCCTACTTTTTCAAAAAATGTACAGTAAACCTATAAATTATCTTAAACTACGTGAAAAGTCTACTGGACCACTTAGAGCCCCTTTGGTATGCATGTTTTCCGACTTATCAGGCTTATCAACCAATTTTTTCACCAAACACGTAACTTTTGATTTCACGCACTGAATTGTGTAATAATAAGAAAAAGTAAGGTTGGTGTTACTTTCTGGCTGTATTGGCTGAAGTTACTGTAGATAGCCATTTTAGCTATTTTTCATATAATTGTTTATTCTATTAATAAAATATATTTTAAATATAATTTTTTCATAAATCAGCAAAATCAGCCAATCCAGCCACTTCAGCCAGAACATCATAAATTTCAGCAGAATCAGCTGATGCAATTTTTGGTATTACCAAACAGGCTCCTATTGTAATTCAGAGGGATTATGTTTTTAAATGTATAAATTGAATACTAATGATAAAAAAAAATAGTAATACAATATTTAAAAAATAACAACAACAACAATCTATATACTAATAATTATAATATATTATTCTAATGTTACATTCATCCATTTATTCTTATTACCTTGATATAGAGGGTTGTTTTCAAAAATATTACTCCCTACGTAACTTACAAATCTTCCCACTTTCCTTTTTCGTCCGTAACACAAAAATCTTCCCATTTCTAAATCTTCCCATCATACCCTCAATAATTCTTAAAATAATACACTATTACAACTACTTTTTTTGGATTTATCCTACATTCCACCATATTATTCCACTATTTTCCCATCATACCCTCAATAATTCATATCATCTTTCACTATTCTTAATCTACCTACTTTTGAAATGGGAAGATTTTAAAGATACGGAGGGAGTACTAAAATAAAATTTATTTACACAAATATGACTAATAGTCACTATAAGTACAATATAGTGTCATGGTCACTTATGTTTAAAAATTTAACATAAGTTTCTATGATTAAGTTAATTAAATACTATAGTCACTAGTCATTTTGCAAACAATCTTTATTTTAATAACACATATGTAATTATTTCATAGACATAATTATATACGAGTAACTAATATTTTCTACTATACGCTCAAATTTCTTCAATCTTTGCCTTCTAAAATCAATGAAAATAAATTAATACTCCATGAATAATAGTATTAGTAATATTATGAATAATAAATAGTCCATCATTATAAAAAAAAAATATTAATTGTATTTTTTAGTTGAAATAATAATTATTTAGAAATCGATTTTCTGGTCTGGTTCTAGTTTTGAACCGGTTAAACTGGTGTGCTAGCTTTTGGATAAAAACCGAAATATACCGTATTCTGTTCCCGATTTTTTTTTGCAACCCCTGTTCGGCTGTTCCTATTTCGGTCCGATCAGGTTTTGAACCAATGCACACCATTGCCATGGCCTACCCATGTGCCCTCAACTTGTGGTACGTGTCCTGAAACAGGACAAGTGTATTTGCTTCTTAGTGGAAAAACTTATCTTTTAGGTATCCTTAGCCCAAAAGATATTATATTAGACGACCCCAATATCTTTTGTGATCAAGGATTGTGTGGTGTTGTGGATATACTTTTCTTGACCTTTCTTTCATCCATTTATTTACCTTTATATATAAAATTAGAAGTTGTCTGATTGAGAAGTAAATGATTCAGATAATGATTCACTAAATCAGTCAATTAGTTGTCTCTCAATTTTGTATGTCTGATTTATATCCAATCGAAATCGGTTGTATATTGGGGAATTTACTAAATTAGCTGCTTAGATACTTACTTCTTAAAACAATTCTATTGCATAACAAATAAGAATTTGAAAATACTACACCTAATCTAACAAGCTCGAACAAATATTTACGAGCAAATAATAATGTCCAAGGCGCTAGGCGGTGGCCGAGCGCCTCGATTTTCGACTAGGCGCTCCGACTAATTGGTTAGTCGTCTAGGTGAATTAGTCGGTCATCTATGGCGCCTAATTGCCCGCCTAGAACGCCCATTTGCCTGCCTAGAGCGCCTAATCGACCGCCTAGCTAGGCCGTCTAGATTCGCCCAACATTACTTTACTTTTTAATTTTAATGAAAAATCGCATTTTTAGTCCCTGAAATAGTCACCATATTGAAATGTCAGACCCGTATTTATGAAATTGTAAATGACACTCTTTATTTGTCCAAATTTTTGTAAACCTCGCCCACATTGTACATTTCACCTCTCAAAGGAACACATTTACAGCAATTTGGACAATTGAGGGGTGACATTTACAAACTGGGGAACACGGGTTTGACATTTCAATACGGTGACCAATTCAAGGACTAGAAGTGCGAGTTTCCCTAATTTTAATTTTCTAAGCGTTATACGTACTTTAACTTTAGTCATGTATAAAAGAAATGAAGTTGTAAATTAAGATAAACATATATGTTTGTATACATACCTAAATTTTAACATTATTTATAATTATAACATAATGAAGTTAACTGGTTAGTTATCATATACTACGCATGATTAAATGTGATAATCATATCATTCATGTTTGTTAATGTATATGTATATATGTACTTTATACACACAAAAATACAATATTACTTACCATGTTTGTGCAAAGATATAAATAAAAATACAATTTATATGCCGCTGACTAGTCCCAGACTAGGCGCTAAGCTGCCGCCCGACTAGCGTCTTTTAGAACATTGATCGCGACAGAACCGGAACTGACGATTTTGATCTGGGGCCGAAAAATAAGGGTTCGGTTCGAGACCGGAACTGAGACCGGACTAGGACCGATTGGGGACCAGAATCGACAAGGAACCGGAAATAGAGGTACCGGTCCCGAGCCTCCATATATTTTTTCAAAGACTGGGATCGGCTCCATGCTTAGTTAGGTTTAATGATACAAAGTATGACTAAATTTTATTATGAAATCAGAAACAATGCAAGAATTATACTTCCTCTGTCCCCTTTTAATTGCAACAGTCAACATTCCACATTTGCCAACACACAAGTTTGACCATTAATATCTTTCATTCCTTATTAGTAAAAAAATTTAAAAAAATTCATATATTGAAATTTTATAATGAGAAGAATTTAACAATATTTTTAAAAAAATTAAATTATAATACATTAATTAATAAAATATAATCAGCGTAAAATATGTGAATAGTGTAAAAAGTCCAATGTTGCACTTAATAGAAAACGGAGGTAGTATAATTATATGGTTCTAATGCATAGTGCGTACTAGAATATTCTAGTCTTAATTGTATTGTTTTTTAAATTCAAAAAAATTCTATTGTCTTTTAAAAGTTGAATATTCCTATTAAAATCCTCCAAAAGAACTATAGTATTTACTAGACCTAGAAAGTATATATATGACCTAAAACCAGCACTAATAAATTAATAATTGCAGTTAGAATTCTTTAATACTCCCTCCTCCGTTCTCTAATAATTGTTTCGTATTACTTTTTGGAATGTTTTTATTATTTGTTTCTCTTTCCCCTTTTAGTAAGTTTTTCCTATCAAAATACTTTTATATCCCCACATTTATTACCCTTACCTTTTTACTTTTTACAAACTACTCTTTCTTTTCTATTTTTTCATTACTTTTCTCTTCTCAATATACTTCATTTCCTACTTTTTCATTTACCCTACACCCTTTATATTACTCCTACTATTTTCTTCTTAAAAATCGTGAAAAACCAAAAGAGGCGGTTATTAGAGTATAAACATTTGAACTAATAGGACTAGAGTCGTCAGGCCACACTCATTCCAAATTCATCTCTGCCCTATTTTGGGTCCATCACTAGTGAGGTCCTCCATTATAATTATAAGTTATAAATATATGTTAAAAATGGGGAGCTATAATAAAGCCACACAAGCATTAAGATCAATGTTCTAAAAAGCATAAGGCGTGTCAAGGCGGCATGGCGGAGCCTCAAGCCTTAGAAGCCTAGCTAGGCGAGTTTATGCGTTCGCTAGGCGTGAAAAGGCGTTTTCGATTTTTACCCATTATTTTAAATTTTTAAAAGCTCTTTGTAAGTATGCTAATGTAATAGGAGAAAAAATCCTGCAAAAACATGATTTTCAGAAGTATAAAATGTAGATGTATGTAGAATGGGAAAAGTAATTGCATGATATAATAAAGATTAACAATAAAAACAATAGAGAATTATGAGCATTTGCGAATGGAGGAGAATAAAAATAGATTCCGGAAGAGAAATTATACTGATATCACTCTTAAGAGAGTTGTTTTAGATTATGTGATTACATGGAATTTTGTGAGAGGCCGGGGTTAGGAACCGTGATATAGAGGGCTAAAATTGCTTTCATGAAATTTCAAACCTAGGACATCTTTTATGAGAGAATGAGTCGACGGTCATTGAGGTAGACCGCCCGCGTCCTCATAAGATACAGTTAGCTAGTATTGATAATTTAAATAGAAATATAAACAATACTCATAATATTTAGTCAACTGTTATGATGGTGATGATAAGAGACACATAATAATAATTTTAATATAATCATGTCATCTATTTATTTGATAATTTATACCTAGTTACATATGTCCATGATGTTATAATAATGGGTGGATGCTTAGTTCTATTATGTATCTGGTTCAAATCTCAAATGTCAAAGGAGGGAGCCGTGCTTTTCGTTCGATGTTTTTGTCTTCCTTCAGAACTCATTACTATAAAATTCCCACACCGGTTAGGAAGGAAGTTTTATCTTCCGTGTACGGTTCTCAAAAGGTAGTCATGTTATATGTGTAAATTATACCGTACATCCGGGTATTTTTGCAATTAATAGAACTTCAATGGTGAATGTTCTGTCTTCCGATCCCTTGCTGCTCGCTAGGTCTGATGATGGAGGCGTTGATCTGCTAGCTCGCTGAAGTCTGATGAAGGAAGAGCCGATCTGTTAGAAGTCCTGAATATTCCTTCCGCTGCTGCTCGCTTGCTGGGTGTTCGGATGAAGGAAGCGCCGATCTGGCCGGAAGCGCCGATCTGGCCGGTAAAGGAAGTACGAAGAGCCGTTCATTTAGGTTGCTTTTTGCTCTGTGCACAACCGCCATCTAGTTTTCTCTTTTGCTTTTGACTTTTTCTTTGCTTTTGATTTTACTTTATTTTGTTTAGTCTTATTTTTTACTTCTTTTCAATTCGTTTGTTTATTTGTTGATTTTTTTTATATATTATTCTAAGCACATTAGAAATGAGTTTTAGCTTAAACTCAAATGAGTAAAACGCCTAAAAAATAAATATACACAAATGAGCTTTTGAATTTTTGAATACTCATTTTGTAAATTATGTATGTTCATTTAGTATCTCTGTTATGCTCATTTTTAAAATGTTTTAGCAATGCACATTTAAAAAATCTCATATTACATTAGATTTATATAAGAGTTGATTATAGACACGAGACCACAAATCATGATACTCAATCGCATATTCCAATACTCAATGACGGGGATTTGATGCTCAACGAATAAAACTTACAATTTTTATATCAATGCTCATCTTGTAAGTTACACATGCTCATTTGTATAAGTCCGATGCTCATTAATAATTTATTAATGCTCATTTAATAGAAATCATGATTTTCATCAATCTCAATAGAGGAGTTTTAATGCTGAATAAAAATGTTGTGTTGTTTAACTAACAAAACAACTAACAAATTCATTAATACTCATGTTGTAAGTTACATATGCTCATCTGATACTCATTTTATGCTCATTTTCTAAATGTCATATCAATGCATTTTTTAAAAGTATTATTTATGATAGACTCCTAATACTCAACATAATAGGTTTGATGCTCATTAAAAGTTCATTATTGCTCATTCACAAGAAACTATGATTTTCATCTCAATAGCAGATGTTTGATGCTCAATTAAAATGTCGTGATGTTTAACTAACAAACCTTACGATAAAAAATAACAAAAAGAAAGTGAATTAGAAAGGATGACACCCCATCCCTGAGGGCCCCCCAATACCGACCGGACGACACGGTGGGAGGATGTAAATTGGACTATAATCACAATCTGACAGATAGAGAGTGGGGCTCCGTCCCCGGTACTTGCAGAGGCCCTATGCATTTTTAGCATAGTAACCTCTCATCGCAGTTGCCGAGATTTGAACCCAGGACTTAACCCTTGTGGCACTCCCTCGCTACCAGTTTAGCTACGCCCACCGGTAAGAAAGTGAATTAGAAGTTTGTAAAGCAGAGATCACGATTCTGAATATTAGACTCCTAATACTCAACAGAATAGTTAGGGTGCTCACTAAAAGTTCATTATTACTCATTCTCTAGAAGTCGTGATTTTCATCTCAATAGTTGAGGTTCGATGCTCATTTAAAATGTCATGATGTTCAACTAACAAACCTTACGATTTTCATATCAACGTGCACTTTGTTAGTTATGTATGCTCATTTGATACTCATGTTATGCTCAACAAAACTACAATATTGCTCATTTAGCGGGAGCCATTATTTTTCGCTTAATTACAAAATTGCTACCGAAAAAATAGGTTGTTTTAATTAAATGTACTGTCTTTCTTTTAATTGGGCCTTTGTATGGGCCTTCCGTCATGTTAAATGTCCCACACCGGAAAATTGAGAAGCACTAGAGTGCTATATTAAGCTTCGGGCTACTCCTCCTAACAGGTTGACCTTTTAGGATGGAACCTCGGGTCTTAACTTGGTATCAGAGCCAAATCGATCCATGGTGTGGGGCCTCTTACGAAAAATGATGACACGATTATAAAAAAACGGCCGGATGAAAAAAAACAGACTGATGAAAAAAAATGAATGATTGCACGATCCAGACGAAGTGTCTGGTCGTGAGGAGGGTGTTAAATGTCCCACACCGGAAACGTTTGGATGAACAAAGTGTTATATTAACACACGAGCTACTCCTCCTATTAGGTTGACCTTTTAGGATGGAACCCCATGTCTTAACACCTACTTCCGTGGGATTCATTTAATGGGGTTAAGACCTCTATATTAGTAAATAATTACTAATTAACAAAAAAAGTGACATTTTTTTGAAATTTCCAAAAATGTGACTCTTAAGTTTTATGCTTACTAAATTACCCCAGGTCTAGGTCTAGTGACAAAACGTCCATAGTGATATGGTCCAAAGTGACACCGCCACCGGTGACCAACGCCACAGTGACACCGCCGCCGGTGACAACGCCACAGTTACACGAGCCACAGTGACATGCCACCAGTGACGCCTCCGGTTACACCGCCGGTTCCGACTACAGTGACACTGACATAATGACAAGCTAACTCCGTTCACAGTGACACCACCTCTACATCTGTAAATAGCACTCCCCTACCCCTACACCACCGCCATTGCTCCCCTCATACAACCGCCATTGCACATTCCCTACACCACCGCCACTGGACATCCCCTACACCACCGTCACTGCCCCACCGCCGCACCGCCGCCACTGCCCCGCCTTCACACCACTGTCAGTGCTCCACCCTCGCACCACTGCATCACCATCAGCCCCACCCCGACCTTCACACCCCCATTCGTCGTGCCCCATCCGCCGCCTCCCAAACTGAGATCTAAGCCTCTGCTCATCTATTAACCTAGCCGCAGCCCATCACTTCCCATTGCATCTCTCACACACCTTTGCGCCACCCCAACAATGGCAGAGGCAGAGCAACGAGACGGAATCGCCGTCTCCAATCGCGTCCAATTACCAGATGCGAATCCTAGCCCCGAAGAGGCCTATTGTTGCCAAAATTGACGATATCCATTCGTAATCACCATTGTCACTTAATAGATGATGAATACACGCTCGCCATTGTCAGATCTCCACCGTCGCCCGACCGCCGCCATCGCAGGTGTCGAGATTCGTCGAAGAAGAAGAGAAGAAAACAGAAGAGTGACATACCTGCAAAGTTCGTACGGCGTGGAGAGAAGGCGTGAAGATGACGGCGGTTTGGAGAAGCTGATGGTGTGCGGATGGTTGGGGCTGATCGAGAAAGAATGTGTTGCGATGTTTGAGAGAAAAAGGTCGGAAATGAAATTAGGGCTGTAGGGGTATTAAAGTCCATTCAAATATTTTCAGTCTGATTTTGGTCCAAACAAGATTCCAACCATATTATGGTCTAAGATAACTCTAGAACTATTATTTATGCCATTATTATTTAATTCTATTCAAACTGGGTTATTAAAATGGACTGAAGCTTAAAAAATTAAAAAAAAAACGGATGTACAGTTCTCACCCGTACACGATATACGTACTCTGTTGTATGCTGCCTAATGGCGCCTTTGAGAACACTGATTAAGATAACTAAAAGAAGTTATCTTAAAACATAAGTAAACATTGGAACATGAAAAAGGAAGAGCTGTGCGCAGTCATAGGAAAAGGAAAAATAGTTATTTTAATTCTTAAGCACATTTCAAACCGCCTCCAATAAGCTGTTTTTTCCACTAGTAATTCTTGAAGACCTTTGATTTTTTTATAGTTTGATAAATAGATTTTCAATTGGAGTCGTACATCAACATAGTCGGTCATTCTTTAAGGACGGAGTTGCACCTACTCCATAACTCAATCAAGAGAACATCTATATTCATATATAACAAGTGGTTATTTACTTTTTTTCGTATTAAATCCTGTTTGAATTAAGATGTTTGTCTAGGTTAAAATGTTTGTCTGAATTAAGTAATATTTATATATGAGGCGATTTATTGTGTGTTGAACAAATAGTCTGAATAACTGAATTGAGTAAAATAATCAATTTAGTATTATTCTTGCATTATAATGTAAATGAGAAGCTTCATGTATTAACATCAACCTACTCCACAATTGCTTTAAAAAATTTGACAAAAAAAGAAGTTTTAATGGGTGGAATTAAGTCATGCTTTCAATTCAGTCGTAAGTAAACATGACTTCATGACTGAATAACTTAAAAGCAAAATTAGCATACTACGGGGCAATCCTCAAAAAGTTGTAACCTTGGAACAAAGCATGTGAATGTTCTCACTCAGATACTCTTGGAGTCCGAATGTGGCCACTACTGACGAGCTGCTGTATTTCTATTATACATGATGAAAAGAAGAGGTAGACTGACCAAGTCAATAATGAGTACTTTGTAAAAAAGACAGTCAAAATAAGATACAGGGAGAGAGTATTAGGTTATTATTAATTAAACAAGAATGCTTCACAGTTTTGGTGCCCAACAACTCTCATGTCTTTTCACGCTAGAAACCATTTTTGCTGCTTTGTAGAACAGCGCTATGCTACTCTTGGCATTTGGGAAGAGAATTACGAAATAGGAAGATGGAGCTCAAACTGCACACATTGGATCTCCATGTACATGCTGCTGCTGGCTGCTCTGCTTGGATCATTATCAGATAATTTGAGCAGAATCACCAGCATCGCATATTAAGACTGCATTTTCCAGTTTGAGGTGGGTCACCAAATCCATTTGGAGCTTGGGGTACTCGTTCCTGACAAAGGCCGCTGCTTCTTCTGCTCGTTCGGATTCCACCAAGGCAACACAGCACCCTCGGAACCCTGCACCGCTGAACCTTGCTCCATATACACCGGGAGCCTTCAGCAGGACGTGGTAAAGTTGTATAAGTGGTTCACAACCTGGAACACCCCAAGACCAAGTACAAGTGGAAAGCTTACACACATGTTTCTGTTTTATTGGATGCCAAGGCTTCGTCTGTTTAAGAGAGACTATTTTCATCAAAAAGGATTTCTCCATTTGCCATGTTTGGCAGTCTTTTATTAGCGTTAAAAGATTCTTTAGGACTTCTGTAGAAAACGGCTTCCTGTTTATCATTGTTTTCTATTTGAAGGGCTCAAACATCATATATAATACATTGCACAATCCTTTTTAATGCAAAACACTTTCCACAACTGAGTTGTTTTACTTGAAAACAAACGGAGCATAAATGTAATATATATATATACGGAGCGGATCAGGTGAGAAGTGCTTAGGCTGAGAACTGCGAAGTTAAACTTATAGACTAAATATATGAACTTTTAACCAATAAATCATAACTTATAGACCCCTCGAAAATAATTACGAAAATGTTATTGCAAAAAAATAATTACGGAAACCTAGATTTTTTTTTGACGTGGTGGCATTTTCGTAATTATTATGGAGAGCTTTACAAGTTATAATTTATTGGTTATTAGTTCATATATTCATGCTCATATACTACGTATGATTAAATGTGATAATCCTATCATTCATATTTGTTAATGTATATGTATATATGTATTTTATACACACAAAAATACAATATTATTTATCATATTTATGCAAAAATATGGATAAAAATGCAATTTCATCCTCTCCGACTAGTCCCTGACTAGGCGCCTGCCTAGCCGCTGGGCTGGCGCCCGACTAGCGTCTAACGCCTTTTAGAACATTATATATATATATAGAGAAATCATCTCATCAGGCCGGCCTGACGGGCTGCCCCGTCCGGCCGAGCCCGTTTGGGCACCTTCCCGGTAGAATTTTTTGATGAAATTTTTTGAGCATGTTCCTCATCAAGTCTAGTTTGTCCATACCAAATTTCAGCTCAAAATTCGATCGGGAAGGTCGTCAAATGATTTTTGCAAGTTAACTGGTCCGGAATATACATGCTCAAAAAATTTCATCAAAAAATTCCACCGGGAAGATGCCCAAACGGGCTCGGCCGGACGGGGCATCCCGTCAGGCCGGCCTGATGAGAAGAGCTCTATATATATATATATAGGGGAGGGTTCTAGTAAGAACTCCTAAAATGAGAACTTTGAATCTCTACCTTTCATTTATTGCAATCATTGGTTATGATTCGCATGAGGTCACATTCATAATTACCCTAAATTCAAATGGGGTCTTTTTTGCAATTAATCTTGAATAATTACTGATAGAGTATATAGACCCTGATAGAGTATATAGACTCGGACCCCCGGGTCTCACGACTATTGGGCCCGGACAGCGGCCCACATACGCTCAGTAGATAGCATTTATCTCATTGTACACTCTATTTTATTCATGTATATCCATTAGAATAGATTAGATACCATTTATTAGCCATTTATTGGCCTTTTATTGTAACTGGGCCAGCCAGGCCCAAGCCTGGAAGCCCAGCCCTCTTTTCTCCTATAAATACTCCCTATGGGAGCCATGTAAAAGGGACTGATTGGATGTTTGATTGGAATTCATTTGTACACATCACTTTATCTCTCTAGCTCTCCCTTCTCTCTAGAATTAATACTCTATCATTTGGTGCTTTCATTGAGAGCTAGAACATATCAAGTGAGATCCTCCCAACCAATAACTAGAGTTCTTCGGCCCCAACAGAGTAAACATGCACTTCACCTCGTATGTCATGTACTCCTCGGCCAAGGTGAATAATTCCCACCAACTACCTGCTTGGCATCGCATCGGCTCAAAGGAAGCAAACTCAAGGAGAGTGGGGAAATCCTGGAGCAAAAGCCTCAAATTGCAAGTGAGTCAAAGTTGACCCCCTCGGCCAAAAGCCTCCTGCTGTCCTTGGGTCAAAATAAAAAAGATCAGTCAACGGAATTTAACGCTTCGGCCAAACGAATAAGGTCCTTCGTCCACCCCACAAACTAGCAAGAGGTATCATCATCGTCCCAAAACTGTGAGGTGTTTTTACGTCGGCCCAAGTCAGGAGAGCCGCATCCAAGCCAACGGCGAGCAACACACCATCGGCCGGCAACGCCCATCGACCGCAACTCATCCGGTACAACGCCACGGCCAGCAGCGCATCGTCCGCTCACAGTCCTCACAACGGTCAACCAACAGAGGAAAATAACTCATCGGCCAAAACTAAACAGAGGATAGAATAGCACCCATCGGCCGCGACACATCGGCCGCGACACATCGACCGGCAACACTGCCAGAACCCATCGGTCAACAGTGTGAACGCATCGGTCAAGATCATAACTCACGAAGGCCTCCACCGGCCGACGTTCATCGGCTGTCATCCATCGGCCGGCACCACTTCGGCTGGCACCGCATCGGCCTCCCGCATCAGCCGACACCCCATCGGCCGGCACCACTTCGGCTGGCACCGCATCGACCTCCCGCATCAGCCGGCACCCCATCGGCCGGCACCGCACCGGCAGGCTTTGCTTCGTCCAAAGGAAGCTCCCCGGCGCCCCTAGATCGGTAATCCCTCGGCCGAACATGAATGGGCCAAGTAGTGGTGCACCCCTCAGCCAATTGGCCTGGGACCCTTCAGCCATTTGACCCAGTCCTGGAAGCGAGCAGTGGTGCACCGCATCGGCGCCCAACGGCCAGAACACATCGGCCAAAGCAGGGCCGCCTCGTCAGCAACCACATCGGCCAAACAAATCGGCCAAAACAGGGACTCTGTCCCAGTCAGGATCACCTCGCGGCCAAGGCAGCTGGACCTCGTCCACCGCCGCCCCTTGCCCTCATCGGCGCCCAATCGCGGACCCCTGTCTGAAGTGGGACCGTCGTCCGTTGGCCGGCCTCACATCCTGTTTCCGCGACGGCTGGTACAGAGGGGAGTCTCCTCGTCTTTGTTTCACGCTCCACTCCTTCGAACCGAGTTCTCCCTGGTCAGGGACTCAGAATATGGGAGCAGCATCTAAAGTGAAATTATGGGCTAGTGGAATCTGGACCGGCCGGATATTAATCTCTGGATTCTTAAGGAGCATGCCCAATCTCATATTTCCCTGCTTGAATACTAAGCAGGGCAGGCTTCGGCCCAAATACAAGTAAGTGCCACAAACCTTTCCTCCTATTTTATGCATTAAATATGGAGCAAAATAGTTTTACCACTATTTAAAAAAAAAATATAGTTTTACTAACTATTCAAAAGAAAAACAAAATAATAATAATAATTACTACTACTATTATTATTATCACCACCATTGCTAGCGGATTAAAATCCCCAATTGGTGCGGGCCAAAGCCTTAACCTTCCGAACATCTTTATTTGATGATTCGGATTGTATTTGGGTCCCTTGACCTACCCTGGTCATCTTTATTTGATGACACGGACATCTAGAATGAGAGTCATCATCGACCGCACACGACATTATGCCTAGAAGCGGTACACCTCATTCCCCTACACGCTAATTGCGTCATCCAAAAGCCGTTGCAATAGACAACGCAATCCAAAGCCGTTGCAATAAACAACGCACCCAAAGCCGTCGCAATAAACGACGCACCCAAAGCCGTTGCAATAAACAACGCACTCAAAGCCGTTGCAATAAACAACGCACCTAAAGCCGTCGCAATAAACGACGCACCCAAAGCCGTTGCAATAAACAACGCACCTAAAGCCGTCGCAATAAACGACGCACCCAAAGCCGTTGCAATACACAACGCACCTAAGGCCGTTGCGATCCACAACGCGCCTACAAAGCCGTTGCAATAAACAACGCACCTAAATGTCGTATCGGCACAAGCGGTGAAACACCCAAATCGGCCGGCGATATGCAGGACGAAGGACCTGTGTGCATGGTCCAACGTCTTCAAACGGAGAAGCATACCGCGTCGTCCGCGCGGAAACCGCAGGACGACAGGCCTGAATTAAGGCTGAGGTTACAAAAACTCCACCCGTCAGTAAAATTTCGCTCAGGACCACAAAGGGCGGCCGTCAAAAGACGATGCCTAGTCCGGTCCCTCGTCGCCGATAGACGTGGAAAGGCAAAAAAGGATGCCACTGACACACCAAGCCGAGGGCATATTTACTCCCTCGCACTAACACACGCGAAAAGCGTAGCGGACAAAATACCGCACATGGACGAAGGGACAGTAACCCTTCGGCCATCCAAAAAAAAAAAAAAAAAAAGAGGGAAGCCGACGGACCGCGCACTTACCGGCCTCGAGCAATAAAAATAAATAAATTCCCCAAACTTATTATTCATCTCAAGACCGGCTCCCAATGCCGAAGCTCTTGCTCCATCAGCTTATGAACGGCCTCCCCAACGCCGTCATACTTTTATATGACGATCGGCTCATCATCGCCTCGTCATCATCCGGATCGGCTCATCATCATCGCCATCCGTTCTTCACGATCGGCCCCTCGGCCACGACGTGATGCTTTATCTCAAGACCGGCCTCCTTAGCGCCAAGTGTCTTGAGCTAGCGACCGGGCTCGCCATTCCCCTCCTGGATGGCGACCGTCGCTTCCTATGACGACCGGCTTCTCATCGCCAAGTGTCCTGAGCTAGCGACAAGGGCTCATCATCCCTTCCTGGATGGTGACCGTCGCCTTTATATGACGATCGGCTCATCTCTGCCTCGTCATCATTATTCGGATTGGCTCATCATCATCGCCATCCGCACATCACGACCGGCCTCCCAGCCTTGGCGTGATTATTTCTTCTCAGAGACCGGCTTCTCATCGCCAAGTGTCCTGAGCTAGCGACAGGGCTCATCATCCCTTCCTGGATGGTGACTGTCGCCTTTATATGACGATCGGCTCATCTCTGCCTCGTCATCATTATTCGGATTGGCTCATCATCATCGCCATCCGCACATCACGACCGGCCTCCCAGCCTTGGCGTGATTATTTCTTCTCAGAGACCGGCTTCTCATCGCCAAGTGTCCTGAGCTAGCGACAGGGCTCATCATCCCTTCCTGGA